AGGATTTCTACACTAGGTTCTCATAAACTGCATTTTTAACTCAACTCAAAAACTACAAATAAAATACTCTTACTAACACTTCATGGAGCATTAAGGACACAACAATGAAATTTCAAGAAGCTTTCAAGTACCTACTATCCCCTCTGCCATCTATGCTAGCACTGAAAAGGCCTTTCTCTGAGGAAAAACTATAAGTCTCTGGCCTTCACCCAAGCTGGCAGGTGAAAACATCCAAGAAGCACTACAAGTGCCTTCCTCTCTCACAGACACAATTCTTCAGCAGAGTGCCTTATGATCTTATGCCAAGTTCTCATTAGCTAGCAACATGATGCTGTTTCAGGCCCATGAGGTGCTCGTCTTCTATATTTCTTTTGGGACTTCCTCTTTAGTAGCATCACAGAATACACACTGTTCAAAAGCAACAAAAGCTCCAAGTCTGAAACATCACAACGCAGTGTGCACTGCTGATGGGAGCAGCCCGGGACGTGACAAACGCGTGCTCCGTAAATTCCAGTTACTGAAGACTGCCAGAGGGAGAAGTGCGCAAGTGATCCTGTTAAGGATAAGGTTAGCAGATAAATGCTCCCATCTTGGACACTCCACTGACCTTACCAAGAAGGCAAAAAAAAGACCCTTGTCTCCCTGTTCTATCCCCCCACTTTGCAGGGTCAGTAACTGGAAAGAGAGCACTTTCCCACTGGAAAACCATTTAAAAATATGTGTGAGTACAGTCTGGTTTGGGCATCAAGAGCCTGTTCTTAAAAGTGTTTTAAAGATTACCTTAAAAGAAAAATATCCTTAATTGATAAAACTTAAAAAAATATTATTAAGAAAGCCACCACAATAATTTGGCTTGTATTTCAATAGACTAAAGTGTTACAGGTGTTAAGTTTTTGCAGTAATATTTTTGAGCAAAGACAAATCTAGGTCAATTTATTACTTTTTTTTTTTTTTAAAAAGCACACTAAGCAGGACCCAGCAGCAAATAAGTCAACACCCATTTTCAAGCCATGCTTTGATAGACATTTGCAGAAGTAAGGTGGATGCAACTTAGTCTTCTAATAAACAACCCACTGGGACAAACTTCTGCTTTCTCTGGAGGAAGGGAAAACAACTCTCCCTCTCCCATGCCCCAAATTACAGTAGAATTATAAATTCTACTTTATTTATAATACAGGAGCAAATTAAAAAATACACTTAATAGACTAGTATAAATTTATGCAAATGTTACATACATAGCGATCCAACTTCCACCTAAACCACCATTCATAGACATTCCCGTTCAGTTCAAAACACTTGGACAGTGGCCAAAAAGAAAATATCTTCTCAAATGCACCCTGTGAGAAACAGACATGGCAAAAACATTAACATTATGTCAACTATATTTACTAAATTGAACTCAATACGCTGTCTTTTAATATTATCGCATCCCTATCTCACTAGCTATGTAGCATGACCAAAGTACCACGCTTCCTTAGAAGGTGCTCCCCCCCCACACACCCAAAGAAAAAAAAAATCCAAAAATACTTCTTCAGATGAAAGAGGGTTCCAGTTTTGTTTCCCATAAAGGCATTGGCACACCTTCCATTCTGTACTGCCAGCTTAAAGGGAGAGACCCACTTTCTTTGTTGGGATAACAAATGCATACTCTACAGAAGACTACAGTTCAATGGGCTTAAAACCACTGAGGGATTAAAACCACATAAATCCCCTGTAAACTCCTAGAGTGACAAACTCTGCCCTTGTTTCTGTCAGCTGTACTTACAGCATGCAGTAAATCGCTAATTTAGCATGAGAACTGGTCTTTATCTGATCAGGTACCAAAGCCAACACCAGGTCTCTAAGAGACACAGGTATCTGTATCACCACATGCTAGCAAAATCCAGTAACTTTAAGAATATAAAAAAAAAAATTCTGAAAACCAAAGCATAGACCTTTGTATTTATGACATTTGTAGCAGTATATTGATAATACATCAAGCATTATAAACAAATGATCAAGATAACAGATTGGTTTTTCCAGCATCCACACCAATTCAAGTATGAAAAGAAACTGAATGGTTCCATCTTTTTCTACTGTATTTGTAATACAGGAGCAAACAGACAAGTTATGAGCACATTAAAAGCAGAGATAGGTAAGCATCTTAGGTCATTAAGGACAAAAATAGTCAAAATTTACAAACCTGAGAATATGATAGAAAATATATACATGTCAGTAACAGAATCAGTTTCAGCAGTAAACCAAAGTGCCATAAGCAGTTCCCTGAGGAAGAAATAAATTAATCAGTATACAAACAACAATTTTTCCATAGCATAACCCAGGACACATTAGATAACAATGGCCAATCAACTAGGGGAGCTATGCTCAGTAAGAGATACATTCAGAAATGAATGTTCAAATACTACCAGTAACATTTTATCACCATCTACACTGACACATTAAATTTTTCTTTAAGCAATAAAAATAAACATTCACAGCAATTAACAACCTATTAATCCTAAATTAAGCCTCATGTCTAAAACAGGGACAACATAAATATAGAAAGCAGCAGAATTTAGGTGTTCAAACAGAAACAGTATTTTATTTATGTTTTTTCAACTGACATATAAATAATCTCTGACAAATTGTATTTCTGTGAACAGCTGTTTAACATATTTTGACTATGTTACCGAGAGACTGAGATCTACTAACAATACCATTTTCTCTACAGTTATTATTGTGCTAACATGCAAATGTTTTATAGGGAAAAAAATAATATAATCTTACCATTTGCTTTCTTCTGGACTATCTGAGGCCATATAGCTAAGGTGGCATAAATGATCATAAACCAGACAGTGACTAATGGCACAAAGTAGTAGAACTGGTAAGGTCGGTCCATCACTATGCACAGTACCACAACCAAGAAATTGAGACGAAATAAAACCTGGAGGCAGTCAGAGGAGAGAAGACAGAGGATATATAAACCGTGAGGCAAAGCTATGAGAGATGGGGGTCAAGTTTCTTTAGAACTGTAGGAAAATATCCATGTATTTTACATCTCACATGCTGATTTTATTTCAGCTGAAACACGGACAAGTATCTCAGGGAACATTGAAAATGCCATATAGGCCTGCAGGCTGATGATGTAGTACTGCACCTGTCCTAAATGTCCTACTTGGGCAGAGACAGCAACAAAAGCAGAGTAAAACAGAACTGACTCCAGGCTGGGGACCGAGAACACCAGTTGCTGGATGCTGTTAATGCCTCTCTGCTTTCACTCCCACAGCACCCGGGCTAGCTCCATTACAGCCAGGGTAACGTCCTTACCAGTGCTCCAGTTAGGCTGTCAACAGGCACGGTGACCTGAGTTACATGACAATATAATACTTAAAACAGCAGTTAAAGATTTATTTTTATTTTTTTAAACTGCCACAGCACACACTGCAAAACCTGGGAGGGAAACCATAAAAATAAGTATGTTCCCCAGTACTGCTCTGCTGCGAAAATTCCTTTTCTTTGTTAACAAATGTAGGCTCCAATACACTGCCTTTGGAGAAGAAAATAACCCGTAGAATCAATTCAGCTGACTGGGAAGTATTTTTTTTCGCTATTTTGCATTTTGATCTGAAAACTCAAATCCACAACTGAAAAGACTTTTGGACCAAGAAAAACACCAGGTTTTAAACGAAAGAAAAGCCAACCCAACCCTGCCTATTTGTTCTGCAGAAGGAAGCAGATACATCTGATACATTTGGGAAATTTTCATCTGTTTCTAAACAAAAACAGTAGAGGAGTGTGGTATTTCTGACCACATACTGTATATCAAAGGGTTAAACATACTGTTACATAGGACTAACTGTCCCAACAAAAAAAAAACCACAACAATCCAACAAATTCTCAGTTGAGAATGAAAGAAAAAGTAATGTACAATATTTGATGGTACTTTGCTATGTCTTGAAAGAAGTAACAAATACTATAGTGATACCTCTTGTTCTTGTATTAGTAATCTACTCCAATGCAAAACAGTTGGATATTTAATACAATAGCAACATGAAGAGTTTCTTTAATGGATCCAAAAGATCACTCATCTGAAGCAAAGAAAGATACCACAAGTGCTTTTGGACACTATTAATGACCCCAACTAACCCAGCAAGTGAGAAAAAAAATCCAAAACGCATAAAAAAATTGGAAGCTTTCACAATTTACACAAGTGAAAATTACTTCAATTTAAATCAGAGACGAGACGACATTTGTTCCATCTACATAAAGACTTGCCATGCTGAGAGCGAGCAAATCAATGTGCTGTATAACTTCCTGAATAATTACCTTTATTCACAGAAGAGAACAAAAAAAGAAATTCTGTACACAACAGTCTCTTGCATTCCCCAAACATTTATCTACTTGTATAAAGAAAACTCTAATAGAAACATACTAATACTAAAAAAAAGCCAAACCCATGGGAAAATATTAACTGATGAGGTAAGAAAAAGGTAAAAGAAGCAAAATGAAGTGTGGTTAAATGAAAAATGATGAAAAGCATCTTTTTTTTTTTTTTTTTTCCCAACAGGGGAGAGCAGATGAGAACATTCACACCACCTATCTATTCTCAGCAGTAAATGGAGAAAGGCTGTTCCAGAGGGTGATTCAGAACACCACAGCTATCCACGTAAACCTCTTACTCACTAGTGACTACAGAATTTATTTAGCAAATAAATTTGTAGTCAATTATACCCCTTTTCACTGCCGGCCAGTTTGTCTGGATCATTACTTATATATTGCTGTATATTGTAAATTGCTACTGTAATGAAAATTCCATTGCTATGTATTGAAAAATATTTGGTTTGATATTTTAAACCCTATATATTCACAGTTTTTACATTGTCAGTATCATTTATATGCTGTACGTTTGTATTAGATAAATACTACCAATTAAACATGTCAGATTACATAGAAACAATAGCCATTTTTGATGTGCAAACCCTGGTTAAGTAATCTCGTATCACATTATTTAGGGAGAACAGATATATTATGGGTATTTTGTTATCTGCAAAAATTTCTTTATAGAAAAAGTAAGTAAATATTCTTACCTGACACACTCTATTTACGCCAAAGTCTCCTTTTGTCCAAAAATATGAGAAGTGTCCATAACCTGTTTGGAACAGATATGCAGCAACCAGAACTCGAATGTGCATGTACACAGGCAAAAACTGTTGACAAAAATAAAGTACCTTTCATAAATGGCCACGCAAATGCTTTTGATTTTTCCCTTCCCACTCCTCTTATGCTTTTTCTGCATTACAGTAAATCAGGTTTAACTAAGAAAAGAAAAATTAGGATGAATTTCCCTCATTCTTACTAAGCTGCTTTGTTGCCTCTCTGATGTTAAAATTAGTTTCTTGTATTTATTACTCTGCATTTCCCATATTCTGTAATCAGTTAAGAGAGAGTTAAGAAAGGATCTTTGAAAGCTTACATTCAGCAGTTTCAAGTTCTGAACATAAAAATTAAGTGCTACTAGCAATTAAAAAGAAACTAACATAATATTCTACATGGAGGAAACAAGTATATTTTTTCATTGGCTAAGTAACACATAAAATGTCTTATCACTGAAATCTACACTTAAATAGAGTGAAAAACTACTGCTGCTAATACCATTTTTAAAACTAAAGGAATGATAGCACGAGTTATTAATTCTATTCAACTTTAATATACATTTGCACTATCTTTCTATTGAAGCAACACACCTAAATCACATTCCCATTTAAAAAACAATATTAAATTTGAATTACTTACAGTGCTTGCCCCAGAGATATGATAAATCAAAATAACAAGTTGCATCCAGCCCTTCCATTCATCAGTCTGTTCTCTATTTAACACTTTAGTCTAATGCAAAACAAAACAAGAGGGTTGCTATTCCAAAAAGTACAACGAACATCTACAAAATGAGGAGAAAAAGTTGAAAACAATAAACCACTTTATGGGTAAACAGGTACCAACTGTAAAAGACTTCTGTCTAGCGGACACAGGTCTACCAGATTTTAACGTGCTCTATGCTGTCTTGTATCTGAGCTACGATCACTTCAAATCTGACTGAATGGCAATGGCTAAAAGCACTCAAACCCATATGCTTTCAAAAAGCTTTTGCCTCTAATTCCATGCAAACATTATATTGCTTGCAAGTGCATTTTCTGCAGATGAGTGATACTGTCTTTTAAAATTTAACTTTCAATATTCAGCCATTAGTTATTTACACTCAAACGAGAAATTATGTTATAAGTAGGATGTCAATGTGATCATTACCTCTTTGGTATTTTCGGTATAAAATACCCCCAAAACCAAGATATAGACGATTGGTATGAAGAAAGATGAATGTGTATAAAATTTATTTTCTTTCATGAAAAGATTTGCTCTGTCACATAGATAAAAATAGGTCATGATTAGACCAAGTTTGCAGAAGGAGTATAAGAGCATCTCCAAAGTAGAAACATTAGGAGGGCTGATGGCAGGTTTCTTCTCCTCTCCACTTTCCAAATCAGTGCATGATTTGTTCTTCCGAAAATTATTCCGATGAATTAAACTGATGATTAAATATCCAATAATAGACAAAGTAAAGAAACAGAAAGCTAACTTCTGTATCAGAGTGAGAGGAGGCTGAGGCTGGCAGCAGGAGCCATCAATGGGCTTCATTATCTTATTGCAGTAGACATTCATAAGAATCATCGCATTCTGTCAAAGAAATAGGCAGTTTTGTCAATTAATCTCTAATAAAAAGTTAACGTTTTCATTGTAAGACATTTTCTTCTAGATAATGCATTGACATAAAACATGCAAGTTTCCCTTATCATTACACACATAAAATTTCACAGCATTCCCCATGTACCTAGTTGCATTCAACAGTACAGTCTAAACATCTCATCCAAACAGGAAACCCTTGAGCTGCCTGAGGTAAGAAAGAAGAGCTAATCCTAATCCTTACAAAACAAGAGTTCTCTCTACTGGCTGTAAAAGGAGCTAAATGGACTATAAATGAAAAACAACAGCTCACAAACTTGGGTCGTGAAGAGGCACAGTAATGAAAGTCTCTAGAACATGACAATGAGACTGAAACCTGTGGCGAGATGGTATTTAGTTTATCCAGTACTTGAAAGCAACCAAAACCTGCAAAGGAGTGGAACTAAAAGTGATACAGAGGGAGAGCTCAATCACAAGCACGGCAGACTGACAGCTCAGAGGCTCACTGCATGCATAGATATATACTGGTAGGTTAAAGATAAAGTAAGAAATAAAGTCAGTGGCACTCCATGCATCCAGGAGGGTGTATGTTCTGTGTTTTCTTATCCTTTCAATACTCCTTACTAAACAAAACTATATGGGCACATAGGGGAAAATTTAAGACTTATTTCTTAGCACTGCTTTACAAATCACTATCACACTCATTCATGCAGATGGAAGGCATGAAGTTTGCGCTCAGGAGCTAAAAGATGTGGGAGATTAACATCTATTTTAAAATAGCTACACACTAGTGTGTTTGCTATTATGTTTTTTAAACATCGTATATACTGACTATCCTCCCACCTATTGAGATCTTCTTAACAAAATTTCCTGAAGAATGTGCAAGTCCTCATTACATTCATATTGTCTGCCACTTCGGAACATCCACTTAAAATCTTGTTTTGATATGATTACTTCTTAATGTTGACCAGTGATAAAACCACTTACTGTATCTCTGCTTGATTCAGGGAGATGCAGGCCATCTGCAGACTTCATAATAGTTTCTTGTGCTATCAATTTTGATACACTGAACACTTTAACTTTAGCTTTGGAATTTCGGGAGCTGCTGTTCAAAATACGAACAGCCGCTTCATTATAAGCATCTATTTTCTCATTAGTGATCATTTTCCGACTTTCACTCAGCATATCTTCATAAACGGGGTCTGAATTTGAGAGAGAACGGGCACATTAATCTTTTTACTTGACAAATACTTAGCACATGTTGCACAGGCTATGTTCATTTAGGTAGTCGCAGTTGTTTGATGGTACAGAAAAAAGGTACAATGAGGAACGACTGACTGTTACATTAACTACAGTAGTAACGAGAGTTGTTTATGATGAAATGTTCTCATCACCATTCCCTAGTCATGCACACGTACTTATAGATTCAAAAGCTTTAGCCAGACATGGATGCCTGTTTAATTTCCTCAAACCCATGAAGAGCATATAATGCTGGAGTGCAGAGCTGCTTATGGCTTCTCTCAGTAATGGAATCCCCAAGGAAAGACTCCAAAGCCAAGAGGACAGAAGACAGGCAGCAGAACAGACATGTGGGGAAAAAATACATCTCTCAAATCCTCTAGTTACTGCAGAAGAAACGAGCTTCTCACTTCTCTTAAGTCATAGTCTATAAGCACTTGCTCCTTTTGATTTCAGTTTAACTGATGGCAGAATTTCAGTATTTCAGAAGAATGGAACACCACTTAATTGCCTGCAGGCTTCACAAATTACGCAGAGCTTAACACAAAGCTACACGGGGTTCTAGATCAAAAGGTCAGCTGGAGATCAGTGTTGCCACGAAAAGCTATTGATTTTCGTAACTCTGGTGAAACACAAACTATGACCTATGAGTCGATTTACTGTAGCTACCTCAATCCCACTTTTGGACAACCAATGCCTAGGCAACTGTGTGTACAGACTGCTTTTCCTCTTATTTGTTCCATTCAAGAGCTCAGAGATGATTTAAATAGATTGGATCTTTATCAACAGAACACTGGGACACATCTGACAGCTAACTGCCTCTGTTATGGATAAACACAGTTTTGAAAGGAATCCAAGAAAATTAATCTGTTGATTCAGGTTAACCTCTGGAACCATCTTTGACAGGAACTTGGATGTGACTGTAAGGGTACAGCTGGCTACAATCCTATCAGGGCTCAAAATCTGCCTATGTTTCTAACTGACGTTATGATAATCTGAAATGCTGTATTCTATGTCAGATAAACCAAGAGCACATTCTACCTATGAGCTCATTGTTTAGTGTCAGGCATGTACCTTAGTTTTACTGAAGAAAAAGCAAAACAATGTAAGCTTGGTGCCATAACAAAAATATCACAGACTCATTTTGAACCATGATTTCTGGCTCCTAACCTCGTAAGTGCTCTCTGTACAGATGCAAGTTTCACTCTAGAGCCTTAAATGCTCTATATTCTCTACAGTATGTCTATTCATTCTAGACACACAAAGAGGATGTGCTTGTTGAACCTCCCCTATTATTTATGTAATCTGAAGTTTCACTTAACACAAAAACAGCAATACAGCTGGTTTATGCACTTGTGTTCTTGACTCCCAGGAGGCACGTATGGAGCACAGCACAGGGAGAAAAGACCCAGCGTATTGAGTCTGAGAGTAAGCTAACACAGAATGAAGAGTTCAGAAGGCAAAAAAATTTTCCTGACAGAGCTCCAAAACCTCTATCACTAGTAACAGCTAATTAGGTACCAGCTAGTTAAGACTGCAAGAAAGGCCAGACTGGAATTCAACCAACACCCTATTTATCCTGCAAGTAAGCAGCATGGACTAAGTTCTCCGTATCCTACGAGAAGACGATTCAACAGACAGTGACAATAAAAATTGTTACCTACTGTTCTTTACCTTACCTTGTAAGACCCAGTAAACATCACTACTTTTTGCTAATTTTTCCAAAAGAGGTGCAATTGAAGTGATATTGATTTTATATTGTGTGAGGGCTTCGTTGCTGCCATTGTGAATTTTGATAGACCACTGGAGAAACAAAGAAAGAGATTCAGAACCTGTATGTCTGAGGACCATTAATTAACTGATTCCATTGCTTCATTAGTAGCTATTTTTCATTATTTCATTAACAGTGATGAAGTAGCAAAGCTAGTCACATTATATAAAAATCATGGCCAATTCAGTCTACTTTACTCTAGGAAAACTGACCACAGCAAGACATGTGTGCAAGCAAAATTTGACAGTGGTATTGAGATGCAGTATTTTAATCTGTTTTGCAGATATCCACAAAGAAAAGAGAATAAAAAAGAGAAGAAAAAGAGCCATTTTAATTTCTGATTTAATCTTCAATATGAAATGATTGGGAGAATGCTATAGTCACTCAAGAATTTCCCCTAACTTCTGAAAAGAATATCCCACACTGTAGGAAAATTAGATTTAGCACTTTTTTTAAAGTACTATTGTATCCACACTGATTTAGTCAAGATACGTAAAAAAAATAAAAATTAGCCTAAATGTAGGGAACTCTCTAGTTATTTCTAAGTATCTACATAAAAATTTTGATGTAAGCCAAGTACATTGATTAATCCACAGCCTGAGAATATTACTGAATATAAACAAATACTTTATTAAACCAAGTACCATGCAGCTGCTCTGAGAACTCACACTCTGGTAAAAACGCAGTTTCTCCCAGTAGCTAAATCCTTACTCGTGAAATACCTACAGTATTTAAACAGACATTTTAAGAAGCATATTCCATTCAACAGGAAAACAGGAACCAAGAAGATGAGCACTGCAGTGACATTCTCAGAGCATTTCCTTTTCCCAGAATAAACAAGCAGCTGAGTTTTGTACTAGTTGGAGCTTCTCCAGCTTGTAAAACTTTACTTCTATTTATAAACTGTTATGTAGTTGACATCTTAAGACAGACATGTCCAGACCAAAGTAGCACGACCAAGCCAAGAGCTCATTTAAAGATACAGGTAAGTTTCAAAATGCTGACAAGTCCAAGGGCACGCAGCAGTTTAATTTGGTAGCCCATTACCACACTAGTGCTCGCCAGGTTAATGTTGCTGATGTGTCAGATTTTTTAAGCACTTTATTTTTCTGCAAGTCCCTCAAAACAGGGGATGTTTATCTTTGGCCATATCTAGATATCACTACTAATGTTTTGTGTAAATATACTGGTGTTATAAAGAGCTGAGCATCACATACATATCGGTTCTTATCTCCCGCTGTCCACAAAGGACAACAAGCTATGGCTAACGTACATATAAGAGTAAATGGAATTCTAAGGCTGAGAGTCCTGTATTTTGCACCCTGACCTTCTGCATACCAGAATACTATCCATACAGAGTGGCATTTTCTGTGTGGAAGATAATGACTCATGCTAGTAAAACATGCTAGATTCTCAGACTGCGCGGAGATATTCTAGGCTTACTAAGATTCCTAAACCTCAAATATTTACATGGATCCTACAGAGGAACATAATTTAGTGGGTTCACCTCTAAGGAAACAGAGAATTTCTGACCCCTCAGGAAATGTGTGGAGCTCTGCATACACATGACCTTCCTCTAAAACTGGGGGAATTCACCCTGGTTTGACATGCCCAGGAGCTTCCAGATCAGTAGGACGCCTGAACTGTCTCTAAACCGGATGCTTTAAAAGAATTTTGCTTAAAATGGAACACATTTTTACATTTCTACATTTGAGCTGGTATGAATTTGTAATAGCTAATTCCTTTCAAAATCCAGTTCCAAAATATTCAGAATTAAAGGACATTAAATGTGGAACTAATGAGATGAGCAGTCGTTCAACTCTTGACTCCCAGTACCAGCCAACTACTGGAACAGACTACTTGGGGGAGCTGTTGAATTCTAACCCTGAAAGTTTTAAAGAATTGGTTGACTCTTGTCAAGCACAACACAAGTAAAACTGATCCTGCCTTGTGACAAACTGATGGGTTAGGAGACCTCTTCAGGTCCTTGTCAGCCCTGTTTTCTATGATGCTGCAGCTTAAAGCAGTGGTAGAAACTTCCAGTGGTGGAAACTTCCAGTGGAACAAGATTCAGGAATCTTAATCTCTTTGGTTGTCAAATTATGCTTGTAAAATTCAGGCTTTTGCCCATATAAGTCTAAAAGAAATATATGTGCTCAAAAAGCATTCCAGTTCGGGCCATGCTCAAAAGCAGTATTTTGTGACTGAAAAGAGTTTATTAAAAATGCATCTCAGTTAGTACGTAAGTACTTTTATCTAACTTTTTAAATGAATAATCTGCTTTTAACAAAGAAGCCTCCTTATTTATCAGCTAGGTTCAGGCTCATCAACCTGTACTGCTTCCAAAAAGCCAGTACTGTACATCACACAGCTACAGTAAAATATATCTAATATTTTAGAACTACTTGTTGTAACAGAAAATTCACTGAGACTGTATTTTTTATTATGAAGTAGGTTTAATAACATCATCATTTAACGAACTTGACAGCATAAAAGTTATGCTACTAGAACTTCCCTCTTTACTAAAATACTCCATACATGTATAACTTACCGTGGCAGCTCCCACTACAATTATATGAGGTTTTGCCACAGAACCCTAAGACACAAAGTAAAAAGAAATTATTTTTAAAATATTCACAAATTATATTTATTACTATATTGAGCAGGTTCATTAAGACTCGTACCTTAATTAACTGTGACTCAACCTGTCCATCAGTTAATGGTCACAAAAGAAAAGACTGCAGATATACTACAGAGAACATCAATTTGTGTATACCAGAATTTTCACGTAACAGATTCTGCAAAAGCGCAAAGCATCAATAAGCACTTACAATCATTATCAGTTTAGCAGCATGAGTTCTAAACATCTTCTCCTAAGGTCAAGTAAACTGCAGATTGTACTACTGAAGTACTTTTTCTCTCAGTGTCTCTCAGCATTCTCAAACATCTGTGTGAGCTGTTGTACTGACTAAAGTGACCTTAAACCCATTGCAAAAACAGAGCAAGGACTACGGACAGTTGTTGCCATTGTTGCCCTGGTCTAAAAGTTATGTCTAGGACAAGGAACAGAATAGGTACTCAAACAGAAGAGTACAAGGAAACAAGCAGTGCTCATCACTTTAGTATGAGTATTGTCTTGGCTCAGCAAGGGTTTAGCAGCTCTCGCTGTTGTATAGTAATCACAGAAAACGAGTGATAACTTTAGCTATCTTGGAAGCTGTTGTTCAAGAATGACAAATTGGGTTACAAAAGAATCACCAAGGTCATTCCTAAATAACTTTCAGCTTTTTAAAGGTCAACAAAAGAAGAAACAAGCAAAATTTAATTGCCATTCTGTAAATACATTACTCGTTATCAGAATTACATGCATAATTTTATGCTGAATAACATGACAACCTATCTCAAAACTGAAATATGTAAAATAATTAGCATGCATTTTGAGGGAAATACTAAAAAAAAATAATAATCAAGGCATTGACTTTCCAAACTGCCTTTGTCCTTCAGTTTGGAACACTCAAATTAACATAAATGTAAAATTACAGAATCACAGAATACCTCAAAAGTTGGAAGGGATTCATAAGAATCAAAAATGTTTGGTCAGATAAAAGCAGAGCCATCGGAGATACAGAGGAAGAGAAACATCAAATCAGAGTAAAATCTTTTTAGCTCTTAATAGAACGAATCGAACTGCTCCTAGGAAGTGGGGTTTTTCTGGTTCGGTTTGGGTTTTTTTGGCCCAAGTGATGCCATCCTTGTGAGACTAGGAGATGTCCAGAAACATATACACCAGTAAACATCCCCCTTTCACGATTTTGATGTCATATTTCGGAACTCTGGTACATAACTGACTGAACAGATGTGATATGCTGCAGTTGCTGGACTCTCGAGTAATCATAATTGTGTGTATGAAAAAGAAGAAAGGTGTCCTCAGTTAGTTGCTATATTTTCCTACAATAAACAGTTTTTTAAGACAAACCTCAGTCCAAGATTTGATACGTTGCCTCATAGACCCATTAACTTCTGGATACCACAGGAAATCCTGTAAAATAAATGCAGATTTACTCTGTAAGCTTAAAGACAAGCAGTAGACTAATAACAAAAAATAATAAAAAAAACCCCTAATTGTCATCAATTCAACAGAAAGGAAAAAAAAAAAAAAACAATAAAAAAACTAAACCCCTTTGCCCCCATGAAAAAAGAAGTAACTTTCATTTGTAGTTCAGGAGTTGGGATTTCACCAAGAAGGTAATTTTTTAGGTTCTGCCAAATGGGATGTCTTTGAGCTTCCAATGCAATCAGGGCTAAAACCAAGTTTATATCTATAACTTACTTACTACTTGCTTTTTGCTCAATTTCCCAAAGTTTTTACCAACAAGTTTTTTTTTTTTTCCTTCCAGAACTTTACGTAATGTGATTGACAGCTTGAAATCACAATTCTCAAAGAAAAATAAATCCTAAAATTTTACATTACCACTTCCTAAATTATTACCTGTTAAATCTAACAAGGCTATGGACATTAAATGCATTACCTACTGACATTTTAGATGTCAGGAGCACTGTCCAACCTTCATCTGGTAGGACAGTCTAGACTTTGGCTACTGCTATTATGTCTCCCACACAAAGCTGACACCACCTAGCATCTAGTTACTCCTCAAGTGCAGAACTCGAAAGGACTAAAAATATACATTGAAGTGAAATGACAGGGACTACATATGCAGAAATTATTGTGAGAAAACTTCAAAATGCAGAATGCAGAAACACTACTAGTAGAGGGTTTCCTTATCTTCCACCTGCACAGACCTAAAGATTTAGGTAGTTCACTTGAGTACCATCAATTCACTTATTTGGCAGGAATCTAAAAGTGATCAGGCAGCCATCTGCAGTGACTGAAGGACAGAAGGGTCAGTATGATGACTAGAAAGGGCAAAATTAAACTCTCCACTTGTTTCCAGTGATTATTCTCTTTTGTTGGTCAAGTATTTTCCACATTTAGGTTATTGGGTTGCAGCCATTCTGAATGTGAAAATTCAGCTACCGTGCCAATAATGCCAACAGCAAAACAGCATCAAAACAAGCAGTATGCTAGAAGTATAAATACCCAGACATCTCCCAAAAGCCCAAACCTGCCATCTCAAACCTTGGTGGTTAGACACCTACCAAGACTTAAGGAGTTTTGAAGATGTAGTTCTGTGTCAGGCTACGCCAACATAAATCACGTGGCTTTGTCCCCTTCGTCCTGCCTTGTGTTCTGCCCCCTGTTTTTCAGCATTTACATAACCATATGATGAGCCACATCAGACCTGACCAGAAATGAACCCTACAAGGTAAGTTTTTGGCTGAATCGACTCCTAAAAGAGCCCACCCCACAGCTGTACCAGGGCTAGTTACAGTACAAACACAGAAACATAGTGTGACCGGCAGCGGAGCGGGACAGCATAGGCTTAAGCTGCCATGGGGTCACACCTTATAATGTTATTCTGTACCCTAAATCTTAAACATGTACACAAGCAAGTACTGAAAACTCACTTGCAGCAACTCAGGAAACACACTGCTGCTTTGGTTTTCACAAACAGAGAACGAGTTGTCTCCAGGGAATAAACAAATACTTGACTAGCAGAATCCCAGTGCTGCTGACAGCCGTCATGGGAAGCAAAGAAAGCTATTGAGAACATCATTCCAATTGCCAGGGCAGAGGAGAACAGAGTCCTTCATAAAACCTACCCTCGAGTACTTTCTTTGTTGTTTTTGTTGGTGTTTTTTTTAATATCCCCATTATAATCAACGTTGTGGTTATTTCTCCATGCAAACACAGTGGAAGGAATACTTGCTGGGATAGCGTAGAGCACTCGATGGCAACTATGACAATTAGCACCCCAATTAAGTTAGCCCCAGATACACATTCTTACACCAGTGAACAAGTAAACTTCCTGCCAAAAGCTGTTTTTTGGGAAGGCCAACCTGTAAGGAAAAATCCAGTTCTGACTGCAATTTGGATTACATTGTATGAAATAACAGTATGCATTATTATGGCCTGCAATTTATTGCTTGATAAAAACTTACCACTTTAATTGAAGCAGATTTATCTTCAAAGGGGATATTTCCATGCTGTCAAAAAACCCAAAGCAATAAAACCAAAGTAAGACAAACTTTCAGAAGGGAAAAAAAATATTTCAATTCATATGTTTATTTGCTCTCACCCAAAGGTTTATCTTCAGTAGAAAGGATTTTTCTTGTATAAACTTGTCAGTGTACTCATTCAAAATGTTTATGTTACTTTCTTGATAAAACAAGCTACTTGCATAAAGTGTTATTTTGGCTGGAAGAAATCTATCCAACAAAGTCTGAAATGTTTTATGTTCACGTTGTTAAAAAGGTATAAAATTTTTCTCTAAATTTAGCCTCCCAAAATGAGAAAAACTTAAGATTTTTTCTTCTTTTCTTACACTTCCTTTCTTCTAGCCTTCCTTTTCATCTAACCATCTTCTTTGCACAAAACAAGCAAAACAGTCTTAATTAAAGAATAAAAGAAAATAATCTTGGGCAGAAATAAAATCTGGAATACATTATTATATTTGCTGAGTGAGACTGTAAGAAATCAAAGAGGAAAGTGCCAGATACTGCACACAAAATCCTCTTTTAAAACATTACTAAATACAATATTTAGTTTCAATCCTGGTCCAAAAGAACAAGTGTGTCTCTCTTCCACAAACCGAGATCTTGATTTCATAAATACTTGACAAAAGCTACCTCTCAACTTAAAAATCAATTATAGCACTCCATCATCTCACCACCACTTTTGGGCAGCAACTGTGACCTAACCAACAGACTACGAAAACCGGAGCTAGTCAGTCAAACATCTTGTTTTGACAAGTGAAAGTGACTGCACGCTGCCTGCTGAAAAAGCTCACACTTCTAAACGACAGCAGTACTAAATAATTGACAAACCTGACCTGCAGTTGAAGTGAAACATCTTTTCCATCACATATGTACATACATCCATAAAGGGATGTGCCTAGGCAGCATGATACAGCCACAGAAATGAATATTCTGTTCAACAAACGACACGGCTACATCGCTCCTTACTGCCTCCGCGCAGCGAGCTGCAGCTGACATTCTTCACCGCAGAAAATTCAAACAGCTTTTCGGCAGCAATCAAAAGGCACGTCAGACCAGAAGCTATTTTTAGTTTCAGCCTCAAGTTAGACCTGGAAATCTGTCATTGCCCCACAGATTTTATTAACAGATTAGATCAGCAATTTAACTGACATTTAAAATGACAAATTATAAAACATTTAAAAACACACAAAGGAGCAATCATTTTCTCATCAAGAAGCCAAGTATGAAACATTAGTTGCTACGGGACAAGTCAGCTTCACTAATTTATTCCCAGACTGCCACAAGCTCTCTCTTGAGCTTCCTAGTTCACTTCTCAGATTCCAAATCATCTCATTAGTAACCAAACAATTATCTTGGTCTAATTTTGTTCTTTTCCAAAAAGCCTTTCTGTGGCTCTTCTTCCTGATGGCTAGGCCAGCAAATAGTACTATTTTCTTGCTTTTTTGAAGTTCAGAGAAGAGTTATGAGGCAAATTAGGAAGAAAGAAACAAAACCATCATCAAAATAAACTATCTCACCTTATTTCCTTCTTCTTTGACTTGAGGATTTATGAGTTTTATAAACGAATAGAACAACTGTCGAATTCTAGAATCTCCTATAAACACAATATGTTTGTCTATGAGGCAATTTTTTGCTTCACTGTAAAACAAAACAGCAACATTCATGTTACAGGAAATTTATATTTTAGCAAAAAGTCTTTAGAAAATCTAGAGAGCAATATGAATAATTCTAAGCCTTATATTCAGCTCTGAGGAATGGGAAATCTTTTTTTAAACATGCTGACTTAAGTTTAGTGTAATTTGCAGAGAAATAAAAATAAACTCTCCTGCTAAGGTGATTAGGCAAACAACCAAGTAGGCTTTCCTGTTCTGTATACGAAGCTATGCAGTTTCTTGCACTACTTTGTGGCTCTCCATAACACGTCTCAGTACTACTACTGCCAACATTTATTTGTATTTTTATGTGTAAATACAACTATGACAAACACTGCAGACATACAGAGAATACACAAGGAGAAGACCTCCTTCTGATAAATGCTGCATATTTTTGACAGCCTAAAGAATCAGCTATGACGTGAAAAACAGATGACACTGCAATTGCTTCAGCTGCAGTCAAACAACAATTACTCTTCCTTCCAGGCAGATGAACAGAGATATGAGTTTCCTTACCTGTTTTTATACTTGTGCATCATACAACTGTGGGGCTGCCATACTTTTTCTCCAAGGAATCTTCCACTGGACAGAAGATACTCACACGTGTCACCACCTTTAAAATGTCATATTAAGATTAGAATTCAGACACATGGAAGTTAAAACATAGCCCCATTGCTGAATTAAAAAAAAAAAAATCAATATTTGAAACACAGGAATTGACGCAATCAACAGTAGTAAACAAATTTAACTTACTGCAAAAACATTTTGCACAAGTTTCTGCAAATTGCCTTCTCACTTATTATACCACATTTATCCGTAAATCACTCCTCTATCCACAAAATGTTAGCAATCCCATTTCTGCTGTCAGAAAGATATTGTGACCTAACATGGTGTTTCCACCAAAAGACGCCCATCTATTGTGCTACTATCCATAATACGTTAATGTGAAATTAAAGAATTATACAACGGTTCAATATAATAATCTTCTACACAGAATCACCATACACAGCATCTTGTATAGAACAAGAATCTCAACATGAGATTTGCAAAAGTCTTTTATATCTCCTTGCTTAAGACATAGCCATTGCCTTAGAACAGGTGAAATCACATGCTGGGTTAATATGCAAAACAAGAGACATTTACATGATAATTTGCTGATCATTCTGAAGGGCAGCTACCTTTTTCCATTCAATAAATTTTTCACTAATTAAGATCAATCACTTTACAGGTGGTTATGTTTCAGGTCACTTTAAGTTCATATGAACAGAACACCTCAGTTATGAAATCGGTGAGGTTTATCTTCCAGCAAACTCCATGTCAGATTCTGCTGCCTTGTAACTGAACACAACCGAACGCTGTTCACTGCAAGAGGAGTTGCCCTCCAACATTTTTGTCATACTTGGCATTTCAGAGCACTGCAAACAAGGAAATGGTGGTGAATGAAATGGCAAATACTTGTACTAGCTTGTGCAGGAACAATGTACCACAGCCCATACTTCACACTTTCTGTGAAACCCTGACTTCATTAAACTCAACAAGACTGCTCTTTTACTCCACCAAAACTTGCGCTACTCCTAAAGAACAGAGCATTTTCTATCTACTTTTTTTTAAGGGCTGCTGGAAGCCACACATTATAATGAGACACATTTTCTGCTTCAATTATTACAGGAAAATCTAAAGCTTTTTCTAGACCCAAAAATTGATGAGGCAAACAGAAAGAGATGCAAGCAGTGTGAGGTTTGAGGTCTGTAAGAATGGGAATTTACAAGGCACTGCTGATGTCTACCAAGACCCAAGTACATCAGTACTATAGCAAAGCTTTTAGGAAAAAGAGAGCCATAGTATCACTTCCCTTATGCTTAAACAAGGCTTCCACATGACCACAGTCCAATCACTAAAAAAAAAAAGGTGTACCAGATAAAGAAAGTCTTTCTGTGTAACACTCCGATATGAAATCATATCCTAACTTACGTTCCTAAGACCACAGTGAAAGCTAACTAATTCTCATATGCACTGAATCAACTTTGGTGGTGGTGTTGTTGTCGGGTTTTTCTGAGTTGGACATAGGACAATTGGGAAAATTATTTATTTCCATGATTTCCCCACAGTGGGAAAAATGACAATAGTATCTATATTGAAATAATTTTTCTATAAATATTTTACATCTATGGGCAATAAACTTCAGAAAACAATAATTACATGGGTAATGGAAATATATTCATATTTCCAACAAATATGGAACTAGGATCTTTACAATCCTGCATAACCACAGATCTTTCCAGATAACTCTTATTAACACTGGCAATGATGTTGCTACTCTAGTTTGTGAGCCGGTACTCAGCTGCCTGCTCCTTCACAACCCACCCAGAAAAACAAAAAGGTAAAGTTCCCATTTATGAAGCTGGGAAAATAGTACAAAAAGCATAAAACAAAACGCACGTCTAAAGCACAGCTGATACCCAAAACTCTTAGTTCTCTCTTACTTCAAAGCTCTAGCTCTCTCGTAGTTAGGATGCATGAAGCACACCTCAGATACAGAAGCATAGACAACATGGCTCATGTTGCTGGTTCTTGAAGAAGAATATAAAATTAGCTTGGAGGAAGGAAGAAGTGGCAGCTGAAGTCATCTTTTATCCTCACCTTCATCCCCAAAACTCCTCCTACCTGCTTTCATGAAAATCAGAAAAAGGTGATGTAGAACAGATTGTATTCCAACTGTCACTCCTTGGCTCACTTATCCAACCAAACTCAGCAGTGGTAACACAATCAAGTAGTATTATTTACCATGATCTGAGGCTCCTCAATCCCTCATTTCAAAATGCAACTCTAAAAACCAGACTTAATTTCTCTCCTGGAACTTCAGTGACTTACCACTGCTATTGCATCATGACTCCTAAAAAAGCCGGGATAACATGAAGAATTATAACAGTCTTGAAAAAGGTCTGGATAAACATCTCAGAGCCATAGCTCTGAGTTTGGGTTGCTTCTCCATGAGAAACCCACACATGACACAGTCCTAACATGCACGATAAACTGGCTTTATTATAACTGTCATTCTTTACTCCCTATCTCTCAGTTCTGGGAGCTCTTGGTCAGGCAGATTTTGACGCATAAAAAAAAAAGGTATTTAAAAATTAAATAAAATATATACGTACAGTGATAAACTCCTATTTTTATCATCAGTAAGAGTCTACTAATCATCCCAGGGTAGTTCAGGAATTCTCTCAAATTGACCAGTAACCTCTCAAGCAAATCCCTGAGATATCACAAATCAAATCAACACTTCCTTCCTAACGGCAACGCACGTGCCCTATCCATGTCAAACTGATTAATCACTGCACAGCAGCAACGGGACGTGGCAAACAGCCAGATGCAGAGCACCACACACTCCTGAACATTGAAAGGCGCTCTCATGAAAGTACACTGAGAGCACAGATGTTGGCTGAACTCAAGAGGTTTCCAGAGAGGTAGTCTCTGTAACTCCCCTATCTTTCAACCAGTACAGGTCACTCCAGGTCAGCAACATCTTTTTTTTTTTTTTTCCCCCTAGTTTGTGCCTGTTTCATTATTCAATACAATGCCATTTCTGAACAGATCAAAGAAAAGATCTTCCACAAGCAGTTTATCAATGCCTTTCTGCTCCTTAAGCTGCAACTTACAAGACAGCTGCTGATCCTGCTGCCAAAACTTCTGCAGAAGTAGCTCAGAACACAGCAGATGACATGCAAAGCTGGATCTTTACCTACCTTTTAAGTATGTTGGCATAGCTCAGATCTGCTGGACAGACATCGTTCTGGTAGGAATCATAAGTTCAGAATGACCATAGTTTCAGTTTTTCTTGATTATTTCAAATAAAATCCTGTTTCTACACTTTGGCTATCAAGCAATATAATTACCTTGATTCTCAAACATATACACTTATGTAAACTATCACTTCTAGTAAGTTGCATGAAAGTGAAACTGTCGGAAATAATAATAAATAAAAAAAAAAAGACCAAACTCATGTCGCTTGTGATTAGATTACGAGAATAGGTGATTTACAGTTATTACTGCTACAAAATTCTCCACTTTGCAGATGATGAAAACTAGGAGATCTATCAGTGACATTAAGAGTGAACTATGTACAAGAAAATCCATCATTAATTACACTCCTCTGAAATCCATTAACTTGCTGAGAAATGTGCAGAAGAAAATAAGGAGAGTTATTCATGGTCTAATCTATCACTCCTCAAAATTGTGGGTTTTCCATTTAAATTGTGAAATCTCAAAGTCTTCATTCAGTGCCAGAATAGTCTATGTTTCACATACTTTCTTTAAAAGGCACACGCTCTATTTTGAAGAAAAGGAAATTCAACTGTTCTCTATTATTGAAAATAAAAAGGTAGTTTTAAACAGGATGATTCAGTGCTCATTTTAAAAATACAAAATTATAAATAAAAACTTATTTCCAACAATGTTCAGGACGGTACCTTTGAATTGTGATAATAAGTGAAAAATACACAGCACTAACTTCACTGGATAGTATATAAACATTTAGTCCAATCAACTCTTTGCAGAAGCTGTATGCAAGTTAATTCACTTGAAGTTTTGCAAACAATGTAGGTGACCTCTAAATATTATCGTCTCCCTGAATACGAATTTGACTTTCCACAAGCCTAGTCCAGCATTTTTTCATACAAGTAACTTTTACATAGGCAAGTTTTACTGTGATCTGCAGTGGGCTGCTCCTCTCTGTACTATGTATTTGCATGACTGAGACCAAAACTAGCTGAAACCTTTACATGTAAAGGCAATCAAACAAAACCCTGGAGTTCTAACTAAAGTCTCAATCATCCAAGAGCTCCCAAAGGAAGTCACAACAAAACCAACAGGCTAACCACCAAAAAGTTAAAGTATCCAATTGACATTCATTTAAAATGTTCAAAGTACAGACAAACATAAGAGTATCTACATATTAATACTTTCACTCCTACCTAGGGATGGTGAGCAAAGGAAAAGGTATGAAAGAGGCAGCCTCTATGTGCCTTTATCACTTTCAGAACGCCTTCCTAAAAAAACTTCTAAAAACTACTCTCTATCTCTCAAGGAGTCTTTGCATACCCATGCTTGTCCCACAGAAAGAAGGATTCACTGACGAACCTTCTTCACATGTAGCATTCTCTGTCTGGTTATATCCGTTATTTGTGGCTTCTTCCTCTGGCCGAACTGTCCAAGGGAAAAACTGCAGGCTAGAAGTCTCAACATTGTCAGTGTGCTTCGGTGGTATAAGTTTGATTTTTTAAATAATAGAGGACATGAAATAACAAAGTATTTTGACTTAAGATGTAATTTTTCATCAAAGCCAACCGTGGTCTTAGCCATCCTTTATATACCCGACAGGATACCTATACATCAAGATCTTGTTTGTATCATCAGGTACGTCTAAATCCATGAATGACATGTCTATTTCAATCTTACTTTCTCCATTATTCAGAAAGCTGCTGTTTCAACTAACGCAAACTTTAGTTTATCAGTTTCTTCAGATGTGAAAGATCCAATTTTGGGGGGAGGAAAAAACCCCACACCTCCCACAAAACAGTTTTCATCACTTTTTGTTCATATGCAGCTTGCTCTC